TATCTATCTATCTATCTATCTATCTATCTATCTATCTATCTAACTACATTGTTTCTGCCTATGTATACTACATATATAACACTACTGATTTCACACACTTGGATTAAGTCTCATTCTCTTCCAGTCATACAATTATCAATCATGTTTTCCCCATGTACATGATGAAACTTACCATACAGTCATGGGTGCTAATTTTTTCAATCACACTTAATTGCACGATTATCCATCCTGGAATACACACCAGGAAGGTCTGGAGCTGAGCTGAGGAGGTTTGTTTGTGATGATAATTGTAATCTGCAGTGGCTGATGACATGGAGAGGCCAATGTAAGCTAGGAACTGCCAGGACCACCTCAGCTATCTTGACCTAAAAGTTAAGCTTCAGGGTGTTCAGGGTAAAAAAAGAAAGAAAAAAGAGAGATATTGAATACTTGAGTGTAACATAATAGCTCACATATTCCACCAGAAGATTATATTAGCCTTTATTTTGTTATAATGTGACTAGTACTCTATGAGATGCTCGAATGCCCTTAGGAACTGCAAACCTAGAAACAATTCATTTGACCATAGCTGTGCATAGACACGTTGAAATATAGTCAAATAAACATAGAAACGAGGACTGCAGATTAGTGAATATTGTTTGGTGAAATAAGATACATTAGTTCAGGACAATGTTCTTCACACATAATGACACATAAAAAAAAAAATAACTTTAATTACATTGATAAATCAGCTCACCGCTTTTGCAGATAATTGCTTTGTGATCTCAGGGAAACAAAAAGAAAGTAATATTTACATTTTTTGATTAGCATGTTTATGAGCGGAAATTAAATTCCGACCCTGTTCAGTTTACCAATATTTGTTCCAGTGAGCTTTGTGATGTCCTTTCATTCCATAGTTTTAAATGATGAACTTCCTGTTCACCCTTGTGAGAACCAATAAATAAATAAATACATACATTAACATTGTCCCGGTTTCTCCCAAGACTCTATTAAGTGATAAAGCTTTTTCCATAACTCGGTTATTGTGTTGTATCCGTCTGAGGTATTATCTAAACCTTTCACTCTGTAGCTGATTTTATTTTCTTCCTTGAAATAAAAATTGAAGGCTTTTAGGGAGACATTGTGCAGCGTATCAACTGAAGGAGCTCCTTGAGACACTGGAAAGCTTCAACATATGCTTTGGGGTATGAGGGGGCAGATAATGAAGTTACAACTTCTGAATAGAAGCTCCAGTGGAAGCTCCAATACTTTGCTCAGTTTCTTTGTCTGCCTCCCTGAGACACTTCCACTATTCCCGTAGCCTTTGCAAAAGATTGACAGCAGAGATGAAGCTATTTATATCCATCTGTTTATTTATCGGCGGAACAGACATCGCCTTGTCGTAAATTTAATAGTGTGTTGTTTCCCTACCATTTACTTGCATGAATTGTCTTTGATTTCATACATCACAGCCAAACTTTATCTCTCCCCAGATAACTCAATCAGCGTTCTTGCCAAGCACGATTCCTTTCGGCGACAGAAACAGGATACGCACCTCCTTCCCATCGTCGTGACTGACGACGGCGAGCCTCCAATGAGCAGCACGAACACTTTAACTATCCGGGTGTGTGGCTGCAGCAGGGAAGGCATTGTGCAGTCGTGTAACGTCGAAGCTTTTGTTCTTCCCATTGGTCTCAGCATGGGAGCTCTGATTGCTATTCTAGCTTGTATAATTCTACTTCTCGGTAGGTCATTTCAGCTTTTAATTTAAAATCCACTTTGTGATTTGCATGTAAAATTTGGGTAGAAAAGGCACTCAGTAAAAGAATACAAAATCAAAACCTCTGAACTGCGCAAGGCAAAGGTAGAGCTCACTAAGTGGATGTTCTTGTGCCTTTCAGTTATCATGGTCTTGTTTGTGACATTGAGGAGACACAAGAACGAGCCTCTAATCATCAAAGACGATGAGGACGTGAGGGAGAACATCATCCGTTACGATGATGAGGGAGGCGGGGAGGAGGATACGGAGGCCTTTGACATCGCCACCCTGCAGAACCCAGATGGTATCAACGGCTATCTGCCCAGGAAGGACATAAAGCCTGACCTGCAGTTCATGCCCAGACAGGGTCAGCACTCGGGTCCGAACGGAGTAGACGTGGATGAATTCATCAACGTACGGCTTCACGAGGCAGACAACGACCCCACGGCTCCACCGTACGACTCCATCCAAATCTACGGCTATGAGGGCAGGGGCTCCATCGCAGGGTCCCTGAGCTCCCTCGAAACGGCCTCCTCAGACTCAGACCAGAACTATGACTACCTTAGAGAGTGGGGGCCGCGCTTCAGAAGACTGGGCGAGCTCTATTCTGTGGGCGAGAGCGACAAAGAGACTTGACCTCCAAGCGCCACGGACCTTTTGCTTTTGTCCACATTACATGTGTATTATGCTACGGGGATGTTAGACACTGCTGTTTAAAAGGGGGAGTGGGCGCCTTTTTTAAAAACTTCTTAGAGACGTAATAGCATTAGTCATCTACCACATCAGAGTGCATCGTAACGTCAGAACTTACCAGTGTCTATAGTAGGAGGTCAATGATTTTTGTGGAGTGTGAGTTTAGATTACCATCATTGAGTGTCTAGCAGTATTTTGGGTATTTGTTGTTCACTGTGACCACCAGAGGCATCAGAACCTTGATT